CTTTTCTCCCTCTTTCTTTTTTCCCTCCTCATTTCCTTCCTCATTTCCTTTTTTCCTGATAATATTTCATTACATAGCCCAGGCCTCAATCTAGCAATCCTTCTCCTTCGGCTCCCTGAATGCTGGGATGACAGGCCTACCCCATCGTGATTTGATCAAATTGTATCTTTTAAACTTATTTATTAAGTGCAATAAATGTGAATTAAATAAAGCAATGGATAAAGAAGTACAATATGTGAGATTTATTAAACCTTTTAATAAAAGATTTATTAAATCTTTTATTAAAAGTTGTATAAAATTTGGCATTTCTCACTGGTCTAAAGTATTACAATGGATAACTAGAATAACCAAATTTAAGGTCTCAGTTTCCGTTTGGTCTGTGAAAAAAGTTTCAATGATTATTCACCCTGTATCTAACACATAGTAACTTCTATTAATAAACTGTGGTTGGAAAAGGGATGGTCATTAGAAGAGACTGTTATTAATGAGTAGAGTTAAGTGATACCTCACATGAACATCTAAAAGGGAGAGAGACAAAGAGGAGATTAATGATATCAAGATAATCTTCTTCCTTGTGGACATGACATGTTGACAGTTATATATCCAATTCATGTAATTATCACAGCATAAAGGAGAGGTACTTATGAAAAGTCATTTGTAATATAAGGCATTATATGGCATAGAAGACATAGAAGCATGTCTCTTAGGAGCAAATGACCAATTAATGAAGATCTAGAATCAAATTCCTAAGGAAAATGTGTTGCCTGCTCTCAGGAAAGGGACTACTCAAGCAGTACTTGATACTGCTCTGCCTTTCCTATTATTTCGAATTGCTAAATTTTTACACTGTGTATATTTGCATAGTTTTTCCTTGTTTGGTGGAAATGAAGGCAATCTGACACCCCTTGAAAGAGAATCAAAGAATTTACCTGAAGAATTGCAACCTCATTACGAAGCTGGCTTTCTTGTTTTGTTGGAAATCTCAATTTATCAATGATTTTAATAGCTACATCTCTTCCAGTTTTACGATGTTTTCCTTTAAAATTAAAACAAGAATCATTAGCATATGGTTACTATTTTCTGCACTAAATATTATCAAAATTTACAAAAGTATATGTGGGATTAATAAAAGAGTTCAGTAAATAAATTCATCTTTTTGAAGAATATTGATTGATACCCATAAGATTTCTTTTTTTTTTGGTTCCATTATGCTATATAAGATACATTGAAGTCAGTCATAATGTAAGCCATATATAAACTGGAGCATGAAAAGATGTACATTATTTTCAGATATTTAGGATATTGATTGGTTTCATATAGAAAATACTCCTATCTCCAGCCAGATTGTAGTCTCATGAGTAGAAAGATTATAATATGAGCCACCAGCATCTGGCTAAAATAATTGCTTTCAACACACAGATAGCCAAAATTTTAAGCTAATAAGAATTCCTACTGAAGTAACCTACCTCCGTACACAATTCCAAACTGTCCAGACCCCAGTACTTCATCAGGAAAAATCTGATATACTGTGCTGATGTCCTAAAGGTACAAGTCCCATGAAACACAAAGAGGAGAGGGAATAAGCATTAATCGTAACAAATTGTTTCAAAAATGTCTTCTAAATAATAGTAACCCTTTCAAAATATTCAGTTGTAAATGCTAAGCAAAATTTCAATGACTATAATATTCAATTCCAATTAATGTAACTGTATTTTAAAAGCTGCTTTGGTCCTACATGCTTGAGATGTTCTAACATGCCTTTGAATATATTTCAATAGAGTGGAAGGAAACCTAAAACTATACAAAGTCATTTATGAGGGATTTGCCTTCAAGGATGGCTATGTTATTTATGTAAAAGACACATAGATCCCAGTCTTATATATGTTGATCCTTAATTCATCTCTGTCTAGAATGCTGAGACTCTTTGTTACCACCACATCCTGCTGAATCTAACCTGGAAACAGAAGACTGGACCTAGTGAGTGATCCCTGGACAGTACAAAAACAGACAGCTAATTAGGAGATTCTCAGATGAGAAGTATAGCCAGGTGATTCTTATTACTTCTAAAGGTAACAAGCTCTCAAAGCCTATTCTTTTCTCTCTGAAATTGTGAGTACTGAATAAATCAGGGTTTCAATTTAAGTTTTTCTCTTTGCAACGAGATGAACATACTCATGGAAACCTAGCACAGTCTTTTTTACTCTATGCATTCTTACAGTAGCACATCCTACCTTAGCACTTTCTGACTGTCCTCCACTCTTTGCTCTTTCTAAGAAAAGGTCTTTGGCACTACATTATTCCCTCTGTAAGTCCTATCTTGCCCTGATTCCTGTCCTTTGTCCTTAGAAAACAACTAAAAGTTGTCTCCATTGTGTAACCCAATGGAGTGTGCACAGAGTATGTATAAAATTTTCTGGAGACAAGAAAACATTTTTTTGTATTCCGTCATTCTGAGCCCAAGCTACTCTATGCATTTATTTATTTATTTATTTATTTATTTATTTATTTTTGTTGGTCGTGGGGACTGAACTTGGCCTGGGTACTGCCCCTCAGCTCTTCAGCTCAAGGCTAGTGCTTTACCATGTGAGCCACATCACCACTTCTGGCTTTTTCTGCTTATGTGGTGCTGAGGAATCTAACCCAAGGCCTCCTGCATACAAGGCAAGCACTCTACCACTGAGCCACCTTCCAGCCCCTATGCATTTATTTTTAGTTGTCTTATATTAAATTGGACACAGTAATGAGTTACTTTACATTTTTATACATTCATAAAATGTACTTCAATATATTCATTCTCCTCTATTACTCTTTTTAATCCCCTCCTCCAAAGGTGGGTGAATAGAGTTCAATGATTCGACAGCTATACAAATTTCTCCATAGGCTTTCCAATAATCTAAATTTCCCAACATTTTGTCCAACTAAGCAACAGCAGCACCTGAGGTCTGTAGACATCAACTTTGAGACACACAGCTCAAGTTGATTTAAGCAGATCTCTAGTTGATCTTTTGACTTTTTGTTTCACTTATGCCAACCTAGTAAAGCATGTAAAGATATTAGTAGGGAGAGCAGCGTTTGTTTTTTTTTGTACTTTATTCTTTAAGAAATAAACTCAAAGCAGCCTATATATCTTGCCCTTTGGTTCCTCAATAACAATGGGTCCAACAACTAAACCTCTGGCTCACAAAATGAGGTAAGAAGTGCGAAAGGATTACATTTGGGTATCTATGCATATATACATATCTATACCATTCAACAAATCATTTCATAAGTACAATGCATCTTGACAGTTGTCACCCTTTCATTATCGTCCATCCCAACGAACCCAATCCTTCCCTTGTAGTTTCATAGGATATACATTAAATGTTTTGACTACATTCTTCCCCCATTCTTTGCTTCATTCATCTACCCTCTCCCTTGACATCTGATACACACCTTCCTAGTACCAGTTTCCTAGTATTCATTTTGCTGTTTTTTTGTTGCTTTTATTTTCTAGTAACCACATTACTAAGATTTTTATTACTATTATTATTATTTTTTATTATTGTTAGTTGTCAATCATGGGGCTTAAACTCTGGGTCTGGGCACTTTGCCTGAGCTCTTTAGCTCAAGGCTAGTGCTCTACCACTTGAGCCACAGTACCACTTCTGGTTTTCTGGTGGTTTATTGGAGATAAGAGTCTCTGGGACTTTCCTGCCCTAGCTGGCTTTGAACTACTCAGCCTCCTGATTAGCTAGGATTACAGGTGTGAGCCACCAGTGCCCGGCTAAGATTTATATGATCAGATATATACTCACCACATTTTCTTGAATCTGGCTATTTGATACCGAAATGCTGACCGAGATATCTTCTGGAAATAAATGTTAAAAAGACACACACAGAGGCACATACACAAACACATCAGTTACAGAGGTAATAGCATAACAAGGAAACACATTCATCAATCTTCTTAAAGTACCAGGTTTAAATAAATCACAGCAATTACTTTCTTCTAGGAAAATGTCTCAAAATCTTTCTTTTTAAAAATTACAAACTCAGTCTGGAGTTGGCTTTAAAAAATAGCACTTTATCAGTGCAGATCTTGGATGGAAAATGACTTGGGTTTAAATATGGCCTTTGCTACATGGCAGTTATTCTATGAGCTTATGTCACTTGATCTTTCTAGAGACTAAATTCCTGACCTGCAAAATAGGAAAGTCCTCAACTTATGGGAGTTGTTTGAGGCATTAAAATAGAGATCTCATATGAGTGCTCAGCACCAAATAGACACAAATGTTTTATTAATATGTTGGCTATAAATAAAATTATCATACAGGAGTATTATAATATCAAATCATACTTTGGTAAAAATAATCTTGTGAAACTTCTTTTTAGAAACTCGATCCTGTTGCATTTTGAAAAACAATTTTTCTCATTCTTATTACTATTATTATTATTTATTATGCCAGGTCAAGCTCCAACTGACTAGATGACTTCTTTTATGACCAAGAGCTCTACATGTCTATAGTTGCTTAATATACAAAAACATATATTACTTTATGAAAAATTTAAAATAATATAAAGACAAGAAAATAATTTGATAATTTAATAAATATCTTAGTATGTGGTATTGTTTGTATTTAGAGATTCTTTATTCTCCAACAAACTATACCCACAAAAAGGAGTCTTCTCTCACTTTGTGCTTGGGGAAGGCAGGTAAAGTGCTAGGTTCACAGCTAGGGAGGCAGGCTGGTCAGCAAGAATTGGGAGACTCACTGTGAGAGTTGGATCCTATGCCTATAGATGAGCCTTTGGGGATGACAGGCATGAGGGCATGCTGGATGGCCGTCTCCCACATCTTGGCCACATCTGCACCAATGCCACTGGTGAAGATGCTGTTATTTGGTGGGGGGCTGGAGGGGTTGACCACATTTTCTCCCACATAATATACTACATTTGCCGTGGTGATTTCAAAACAATGAGGATTAGCTCCACTAAGTATTAATGCTGCAGATTTTGCTGGTTCCAGAGATAAAATTTCTGATAAAGGAATTTCCTGTGGAAGGAAGAACGTGCTACATGTAGTTTATTTGAAAGAAAGAAAGTAAAATTTTATATAAAATCCATACCAAGAACATGTGAAAAATGTCATTCCAAATATTCAAATATTCAACATTTATAGCAAATATTTTTCTAGAGAAGACATATTAAGAAACAAAACTTTAAAATACTTATATAATTGGAAACCTTTTATCAATCTTTTCTAGAATATAAAATGAGTTATTTTAAAAATAATACTCGTATCACAGTAAAAGGAGTGACTAAGAATAATGGATCTGAGTCTTCCTGAGAATCCAACCCTTGGAATATGAACCAATTTTTTTTAAACTGTGAGATGAAATTCCCACATTTTTGAAATGCATTTGGGTTATGTACTTTGAAATTTTAATTGTTCTTTAGAATTCTTCTGTGAAACATGGTTTGACTCAAAACATGTCAATGTGATATAATAACACAGCCAAGACAATAGTTTTAGGGAGGAAAGAAAAGCAATTAGTATTAAGATTAGTTGTTTGTAAAGTCGTTTAAGTATTTAAAAGATTCACTGCCACAGTCTCCCAGGAATCATGAAGTGACTAACAAAGTACTAACTTGTATTGGCTAAGGGACATGATAAATACCTGCAAACTCAGCTACTTTGGAGGCAGAGATTGGAATAATAATGGTTTCAAGCTAACTGTAGCAGAAATTTAGTGAGACCTCATTTCAACAAAACAAGACAGGTAGCCCATGCTTGTCATTTCAGGAGGCTGTAGGTACTAGGAAAATGATCTGACAAAAGCACAAAACCTTATTTGTAAAACAACCGAAGCTTATGGGGTTGGTTGGGTAAGTGGTAGAGCACTTGTCTAACAAACCTGAGGCCCTGTGTTCCTACTATACTTAAATAATAGTAATAATAATGTGTGAAATAATAATTTTAATTTGATAACTAAGGGCATTTCTTCATCCCCCCCTCAATCAACTATGCCAAAGTTGTTCAACATGTCTTCATTCACATAGAAGTTATCAAATGTTTTTCCCTATGATTGTCTCTTGGAGCTGTTTTATTTGGTAATATATTATGACACATCTGTATAATTTACTATGAAAGGATAGAATGAAAATTTCTGCCAAGTACTTCTCTAGAGAAAACTGTTCCCTGTAAATATCAGCAAGCATGTGCTAGCAGGAATGGATTTCAGCAATTTTCTTTTAGCTCATCTTGTGATCTCTAATGCTTCAATTAAAACACAACACTGCTAAAATATTTAAATATAACCTTCTTTCCCTTCCCTACCAGCCTATAGGCCCATAAGTCTTCTCTAGACTCATAGATGAATGAAGAAGTTACAATGTGGTTCTTAAGAAATTAGTAAACTACAGAGGAACAAAAGCTATGTCTTAGAGGAAGAACACAATCAGTCACATTGTGAGTATACTTCATATTACTCTGCAGTCCCATGAGAAAACCAAGATGGAAGACAGACTCCCTTACCTTGTAGTACCTGCTTCCAGTGTCATTTTGGAAGAGTGTAATACATTTGCTGTCCAACCTCCAATAGTGCCGTTTCCGCTGCAATAGAAGTTAGACTCTGGGTCATTTTCTTAGCGGGAAGATTGGATTTGATGGTAGAAAGGGCATAGGCTTTGGGCCAGGTACATCCAGTTACAGTTTGAGTCTAGAAGCTAACTAATGACCAAATGTTCTACATTTGCAACAGAGGACTAGAGCAATAAAGGAGATGATGTATTCATATCTCATGAAGTCCCGGGAACCTAGGGAGGCACTGCGTAAATGGCAAGTGACATTTTAAAACTTACTTGCCTGCTTAAAGAGCTAAATGTGGAATTGTAGTCTGTAATAAAGCAAGGCTTACCTGGAAAAATGATGTTTAATCATGATCATCATTTGAAAACATAAGAAATGCTCCACCGATTCAGCTAAGTATTTTGGCTTCCATTAGCAATGGAAGCATTTTGAATGTCATGAGAGAACTAGAAGGCAGGCTGACTTCATGGGCCATGGGAACACTTTAACCAAGTCAGTCAAATGCATTTGACCTTCTCTTAATCTCACTGCAGGGCTAGCAGATAGGATTTGTTCATGTGTTCTTTGTTCATTCTAGACAAATCCTTCATGACTTAGTGGTATATATGTGTGAGTGTGTGTGTGTGTGTGTGTGTGTGTGTGTGTGTGTGTGAATTACCATCTTTAGACCCAAGGCCTAATAGTATTTTGAGGCTTGCCTACAGCCATTCTCAAACTAGTCAGATATATTAAATATACATTTAATATTTTACAACATGACCAAGATGAACTGGGCAGCCAGTATGCAATTGATTACTAGGGTAATTCATGCATGTCTTTTCCCAGTAAGAAGGTTGAGAGTATAGATAAGCATTATACTATGAGTGTATTTATCTAAAGAAACTCTAGGACCCCCTTGATAAGAGGAAATGAGAAAAGCACTACAGATGACTGAAAAATCAGCCTATCACCACTCATCAATTAGTTCAGTTTTTGAAATGT